ATGGAAGGCGAAAATGACACAGATGAGCCAAGAGATGCAAGAGAAGCTCTTGAACCTTGAGGGCAAGGTTCCAATCAATGGAGAGGATTAATGAGTCAAGAAGATTAAGTCAATCATGCAACGGTTAGTTGCTGAAAAGATAGGGTCTAGTTTTTAGGAATCTTTGTTGTTTTCTTTGGTGTTCTGAAGGTCTGAGAATGCTTGGTTAAAGTTCAATAAAATAGATTTCTTTATTTGCTTCTAACAGCTTATTTGACTAGGACCTATCATGAATACTTACATGACCGCTAAACTGAAACACATGTTATTTACACCTTTTTTATATGAAAGCCTTAGGCCCATCGAGACAAACAGTAGGTATGAAGATTGTATCAGTCAAGCAAGCAACCAAATTGTGGTCATCACAAGAGAAATATGTAAATTGACAATAACATGAAAAGTATTAAAAACAGTTTGCACGCCACTTGGTTAACACTTCAAGCTTACAACGAGGTTTCGTCCTGGGAGAGGAAGATAGAGCAAAGATGGAAGATTTTTGCTCTACTTTAATAGCAAGAAGCCTAAATGCACTCAAAAGTTTGTGCACGGTCTGGCATCAAGCAAGCGATGATGTCAGCAGATACCTTGCAGCAAGATACTTCTGGGAAGCAATGCAGTAGATGTCCAGATACATGAATGAAAGTATGAAACATCAAATGTGTGTTTACATCTTGGAGGCTCAGTTACAGTGTTTGAAGATTCTGTACATGCAGAATAGAAACTCATGCAAAAAGAGGGCCCAGCTATTCAACTGAAGGTCATCAATTGGGAAAGTTTTAAGCACAAGACTTGGTTGCACTAGAAAGCCCAAACCAAACCAAACAAACCTAGTGAATCCACACAAGTAGGGTCCCGGGAGGGTCGAATGTACGTAGACCTTACCTCTACCCTGATGAGTAGAGAAGTTGTTTTTATGAAGACTCCCAACTTGTGAAAAGGTTTTGAGAAAAAGATTTTGTGGAAAACAATTGGTCCCCAAAGTTTGACAAAAAGAAGAGAAAAATAAAAGAAATGAAGTTTAGAAGAGTTGAAGAAAAGAATAATAAAGCACGCAAGGACATTAAAGGAATACGAGAAGGTATGAAACAACTAAACTGTCTAAATACAAAGTAGGGGTCGACTCTCAAAACCCTCCCCACTGATGGCTCTAATATCTAGTTGTCCATCACAGGCTCTTGCTACCGACTCTCTAATCCTCCCCCACCCCTCCTTGTGCCCCCATTATCCACAAGTCTTCACACAGTATGCTACCCAAGTCCTCCATTCCACAAAGTCCTATGTGAAATCATGCCTTCCAAAATGTCTAAAGCCGCCATGTCGTATCATAGTTGTTCGTCTCACATCCTCGTCGGTCTACCTTTTCTCCTCACACCCTCGACCTTGACACCCTCCACTCTCCTCACCAGCGCCGACATCTATCTCATAGACATCTATCTCATAGACATCTATCTCCTATGAACACACCCAAACCACCACAATCTTCCCTCTCTCATTTTATTTGTGATAGGTGCTATTACCAACTTTGATGAAAGACCCCAGTATCCTATCTAGCATGGTCCGGCCACAGTCCATCTGAGCATCGGGCATCCTCATTTTTGTCACCTCCATCTCATGTGCCTTCTTTATCACCCAATACTTAGCGGCATACAACATAGTTGGTATAATGGCTATCCTATAGAACTTAGCCTCAAGCTTTAACAAGACCTTGTCACACAACATTCTCGTGGCAACCCTCCATTTTAACCATCATGCCATTATGCGACGAGTACCATCATCCTGCATCATAGATACTAGTTGTTGAATTGTCCTTTTGGGGTTTCCTTTGTTCCCTTATGACAATTTTTATGCTTTCGATATTACGGGGCTGTTTGTTTTTCAAAAAAAGCCTCTTAATTACATCTGAAGTCTGATTCGGTCAGACATTTACCATTTCAGACTGTTTTTTTTTTTTCAAATTAAGAGCTTAAAACCTCTTAAAATCATCTGAATTTTAAGTGAAAAATGGAAGTCTGAAATCATCTGAATTTTAATCTTGCTTTCTCTGTGTTTCTGAGCTCCATTTTCATGGTCGCCGGTTCGTTTTCAACTTCTTCTCAAGTAGTAATGGGTTTAACAGCTAAACTGATGACTGAATCTAGTCGGAGAAGATGAAGATCACCGGGAAAACGGATCTACCGGCTATTATATCTTCGAAGGTTCTAAATTTTACCCCAGATTCGGATCTTTTGCAAAAACCCATTTTGAGGAAGCAAGTAAGTCGGAAATCCCGGAACTCCGGCGGTGGGGTGCGGTTGCGGAGGGACGGAGTTCCAGCAGGGGGAAAGAGGGGTTCACGACCGGAGACTCCATTGCTCCGATGGAAGTTCGATGAGAGTAAGGGTAAAGAGGAGGAGGAAGAGGAGAAGGATGTTGATGTCGAAAGTGAAAAACTGCAATGTGAATCAACTTATCTGTTCTTGATCTTTATAAACCCTAATTAAAGATTTGCATAATTAGGGTTCATTTCAAAGCTTATTCACTGTGAATCAATTCATATTCATGTGTTAAAAGTATATGGTAGTTTACAAATGGTTTAAATGATTGGATATTTCAGTTAAATTTAATTGAAATGAATTGATTCAGATTTCAGATTTCAGACGTAAAAACAAACAGTCTGACTGATTCAGATTTCAGACTTCAGCACCACCTCTTAAAATTCAGAAGTGAATTCAGACTTCAGCACCTCTTAAAAAAACAAACACCACCTAAAATTCCTACCAGAACAATGTTCCAACATAGCACTCACCTCTCTCTTTGTTTCCCCTACCAGAACAATGCCATCAGCAAATAACATACACCATGGGACACACCCTTGGGTTCACCATCAAAATCTTATCGAAAATCATGACAAAGAGAAATAAGGTTATTGTCGATCCCTAGTGTAACCATATCTCCATCGGGAAATACATCGTGTCACCTACTAGATCCTGACACAAGGCATTGTTTGCTCATGTACATATCCCTGACATGCCTACATGGTACCCCCTCTCTCCTCCAGGCTCCTCCAAATCACGTCCTAGGGCAAGCTATCATATGCCCTCTCCAGGTCTATGAACGTCATATGCATATTCTTACTACGTTCTCTATGCTTCTACAAGATGCGCATAAGGAGCTGGATTGCCTCAATTACGACCTCTCTTTTGCATCGCACCCTATGGTGTGGCTCAGTAGCTTTATACTGCAATAGTTCCTATAATTCTATGTATCACCTTTGATCTTATATAACAATACCACCAACAACTAAACTCGTTCGATATCTTGGCAGTCTTAAAGGTTGATATTAAAGAGCTCACCAAAGCCACTACGCACCCCGCCTCCCTAAGCACATCCACGCCTTAATGAGGATCTTGTCGGAGCCTATGGTCTTGCCCTTCCCCATTTTCCTTGGTACGTCCTTCACCTCCCTCTTGATAATCCTTCAACAAAAATAGTGATTGTGCTTATGCATTAGTTGTTGTCCCCCTATTTCTTCCATACTTCTCTCCCTCCCTTGCCTCGTTAAAAGCTGGATGAATATAACTATCCCATCTCTCCTTGATTTTCCCGTCCCTTGCTAAAACTCACTCATTTTAATAATTAAATTACCTTATGCTTCCTAAGTCTCAACCCCTTCGTTCCATAGCTTTAGTCTACTTGTATATTTCATTCTCCCCTTCTTTGGTATCCAACCTCCTGTACATCTCATAAGTCGTATACTTTGCCACAGCCGATGCTTTTTTACCATTCGCTTTGCTTCCCGGTACAATTCTTTCACCCTTCACCTTTCCTCCTTGGCCACTGCTCAGTTGGTTTGTGTCGCTATACTCCACAATTGTTTTGCCTCCTTCTCGCGAGTCCCTACCTCAAGGGGGACCATCTCCTTAAGTACCCTTGTTGTCGCCCCTTCAAGTTTTTCCACAAGAACCTCGGTCTAGCCTCCTTCACTCTCCTCAATCGCCCCCTTCAAGTTTTTCCACTATTCTACTTGTTATTAAAGTGTTTCGCCTCCTCCCTTTGACCGGTCCCACTTGCAATCCAGAATGAACTAATGCAAAATCCAGAAGCATACAGCCTCCCTCGTTCCTCGCCCCAAAGCCAAAACCCCCATGTGCTCCTTGATACCCATTTGCCCCTTCCTTTGTACGTTTGTTGAATCCCCAATATTTGCCCGGTATTAACACTTGAAGATATTTTGTCTCCTCTTTTTACATTAGAAGAACATTCACTGATTTTCCTTCACCTCAATTAGGGGTTCAACAATACATTTGGTGTTCCATCTTTTTTCAAATTATTTTATTCTTGTCATTTTTTTATCATCTTTTTTGGGCTAAAAGTTGACTTGCACCAATATGGAAATCTCATGACCCACGAAATTTACAATTCACAGGAAGCCAAGTTGTCTTTCCAAGTGATGCATATATAATACATTGATACACATACTTTGACTGTAAAAATCAAAAGCGGATGTGGGGTTATAAATTCCAACAAAAGTATCTACAAACTAGAAAATAGACAAAAAGGGGATTTGGGTTAAAATAGGAATCCATAAACTAGAGCACACTGGTAATTACAACTTACAAGTGGACACAAACTGTTGGAAACCACTATCTGACCTTAATTACAGTATACTTGTGAATGTTAAATTATTTTCCTTTTCTTTTGACTTGCACAAAAAGGAATAGGTATATTGTGCGAGAGAACATGTACTTTCAAACAAGGGTCACTTGTTTCGATATATAAAATCACAAGAATCGTTATTATCACCTAACATTTACAGATACAAAAACATCATCTTAACAATGCTATGCATTTCATATGGTTTCACTCAGAAAAAAATGCTTATTAGATGAAAAAAGTAATCAGATGATTACCGCCGATTATTCTGGAGACGATGCATTAAAAAAGGAAATACTGAAATTAATTAAGATGGAGATCTAAATCACCTTAATAACAAGCAGAATCGTCACTTAAAAGCAAATCTTTGCTAAAATCATGAACTCAACCATGCTCGGCTGCAAATCCATCCTATAGGTTACGATTACACTTCCCGTCACAAATATCCTTCTCCACAGATCTAGAGTGTATAATTTCTGTAATTGATGCTACTTCAACTTTTTTTCCAAATATTTTTCACCTTAATTCAAAATCTTAGATTGTGATTTACCATGGATGCTTGATGAAGAAGATGAAGGAATCCGGCTGCTAGTAGTGACGGCAAGGAATTGTTAGCGACGGAGGGAGTGCCGTATTATTTTCTTTAAAGTGAAATTTTGGGGATGGAGAAGAAAAATGTTAGGGTTGTCACTTGAACCCCACAATTGATATTTATGAGTATTTATTGGGTTTTGTAAATTAACTATTATACTTATTAAAATTAGAAGGCATTACAGATTTGGTCCATGTATTTACCAGATTTCTCTACTTCTCGTCCTTTCATTTATTTGTTACAAGTTTGTCCTTGAATGATGGATTGTGTCCCTCTTTTACATGTTCATGTTCAAGTCGTTAAAGTCCATCACAAGCCCGTCATACAAGGACATTTTAGTCGTTTCTCTCTTTCATTTAATAAAAACACTTCCTTCTTTCAATCCTCTGTGTTTGAAATTAGGATTGGGATTTGGAGGATGTACATCTGCCTTCTAGTAGTTCTCCCTGTCTATGATATTCAAATCATTGGGCGGTGACCACAATAAGCAAATTAATGGCCACGATGGTGTGTTTGTCTGTCTTCTAGTTTTGATTACATGAGGATTTTCCATGACACATCTGCAAAAGGAGCAAGACATGTTCAAATGCGGTGACTTCGGGCTATCTGCAAAGCAGTTGGTCGCTCCGGATTAGTCGGCTCGCATAACGGGTTGGATATTCGGGTTAATAAAAAAAAGGAGCAAGACATGGGTGAAGGTTCGAAGTGGGGGCGGAAAGTGGGTTTTGTGGGAGGGAAGACGTGAAATAGAGATTTGTGGTGGGAAAGTGGGTTTTGTGGTGGAGAAAAATGCAGAATCCTCCACTGTCGATAAAGAAGGAGTAGTAGCTTTGAGAGTATAAAATAGTGACTGCGGATTAGCGGAAAGTATGAAGATGGGTCTGCCAAATAATTTGATATTTGCAAAATAACAAAAGTGCTCTCGAATGCGGGGTACGTGATGGGCTTTAATGGCAACGATGTCTATGGGAAAGGCGAAATTCATAAGAAAATGCATCAGTATTCATTAGAAGAAAATTTTCAATAAATAAAGTAGAGGGATGAGAGCCAAATAAACCATGAAACCAATGGCCAAATTTATAATTTACTCTAGAAATTATGAATGATAAAAAAACTTTTAAGGAAATAATGAAAATGCATATATAAAATGACATGTATACTTGGTATCTTGTTGTAGATCGCTAATTCTTTTAGAATATAATTATTTTTTGTTGTTTCATATCAAGGTTCCAAAGGGTTAAAGATATTGAAAAAAGGTAATATATGAGTTGTAATAACCCAAATCCAAGTTTCGTAATAGAATGAAAGTGTAGGGATGGTTTGGTTTTAGCTATGTTTCTTGGAGGAGCTAAGTTGTAAATTTTTGTCCAAAAGGTAAAAGGGTGGAGTTTCATCTCATTCCTCCCCCTTCTCCATCTCAACCAATTGCATCATATGTGTGAGAGAGAGAAAAGCTCCTTTGAAAAAAAAATCTTGGAAAGAAAACTTTAGAATTTTGAAGAAAGAAATAAAGATTTGATGGATTTCTCTTCAAATGTATGAGTTATTTCCCTTCATTATTGAGAAAAGTCTCCATTTTTTTTAGGTTTTCTTTTAATTTTTTGGGAATTTTGATTTAAGAGGCTCTTGGTTGTGGAAAGGATGAATTTCAAGAAGAAAACCTAATTTGGATTTGAATTTATAAATGGTTTGAAGCTTATAAAGGTTTCGGCTTTGTCAAATCTTTGGGGTTTTGCTAATCATCTTGGAATTTGGGGATTTGTGTTGGGCAATTCATAGAATTGATTTGGAATGTTGGATGTGGATCTTTCGACTGAAAAGGGAATTTTTTGGACTATGTTAATGAAACAGTGGGTGTTGCAACCACGACTTGGGTCGCGCAAGCCCTTGTTTAGCTGTTTGTGTGTTTTAGAAATTCTTTAATTCTCATCGTGGGTCTAGTTTAGGGCATTGTTAAGAGTGTTCCTTAAAAGGTTTTAAAAATGGGATTATTGGGTTAATTGAGGAGGTTTAACACCTTTTTAATCCGGTGAATCCATGTGTTAGGTTGTGGGATTATTGGCTTTAGAGCGTGTATTAATGCTTTGGATCGCATTTGAGTTCTATTGTGCTATTTTCTGAAATGAGAGAAATGTTTTGACAAAATGTGGCTTAACAAATTGTTTATCAATTAATTTACAAGGATGTAATATCTATTATTACTGCTTGTTGTTTGTGAAGTGTGAAATACTGAGTATGCATGCTTAATATTTTACATCGACAATTTTGGTGCATGAAAAACTTTGATGTGATTTTGGAATGTTTGTGGGTCGATGACTTGCACAGCAGTCTCATAAAGGTGTGCTCCCTTTAATGCATTTGAATACGTTTCACATTGCACAAGGGAGTGGCATATGTGTAGCCAGTGTATGAAGTCACAGGTGTGCATGATTGGAACAAGGTGACCACTATGTATAGTTAATCAAGTAGGAATGTAGTATTCAAGTCTGCATTCATTTTTAACATGTGTTTTATGAAATGATGTTAAATGTACGTTTGTATTTGATTTGGTGGTTTATAAAAAATTTACTAGACCTTTTGTTCTAACCCTCGTTTTCAAAACTAAAACTTTTTTAGGTGTGTATCTTGTTGAGATTACTAGCATGGGAAAAGGGTAACCTGTTAACCTTGAGATGGAAGTGGTTCAGTTATCGGCCTACGAGTAGTGCGTATAATTTATGCCTTCATTAGAATCTCAGGTTGTTTAGATCATGGTGAGAATCTTAGCTTCAGCTAGATTGTTTTTTTAATTTATGCTGTAAAATTTTGTAAAGATCTTAGGTAATTTGTGTAAGGAATCATTAATGGCTCACTTTTTGGTGATTTATTATTTAAGGTAAATTTTGGAGTTCGGAGCATTACAAATGGTATCAGAGCCTCAGTTTAACTGAAATAGGTTGCAGATAGCCTAGACTTAAGATGACGGGAAATGACAGTGATTGTTGTCAATAATGTGGTGTGAGGTTGACGTTGAGGAACTTCCCTTGTGGGAATTGTCTAAGTGAATTTGGTGTTTTTGATTTTGTGCTTCACCTAAATTCAAGAAAAATAAAGTCGTGATATGACTTTATGTATGTTATATTGGTGCTATGGTTGGTGTGGACAGGGTAGTGTCTATTGAATATCTAAAGGGATCTTGATGATTGTTGTGGTACGATGTTGTCGTGTGGTAGTTGTGTGGTTAAGAAAATTGACAGCGAGTTTTGTGTTTATGTTAAGTGATGGCATTAGATTGTTTTTTTATAAAGTGTGATGTGATATGAGTTTTAGTTGGAGTGTTCTTAGTGAGTATCCAAGGTTGATGAGTGACACTGATTTAAGTTTTGGGGTGAAACGTAGTTTGTATGTCTCTTGGGAGGTATTAAAAAATGGTAGGTATGATTGAATTAGGTGTAAGGATTTTTAAACGATGTTATGTTATTCTTATCTTGGGAATAGAAGACTTGGGTGGTAATTGGTGACTTCTTAAACAAAGGACTCATGTTCTTATTTGGTTGTGTTATAGTTACAGAGAAGTTGCTTTTGTTCCATTTGGACATTGGTGAATTGCCAAATTCGGTTGGTTGTGGATGCTTAGTAGTAGATTAAATGATTTAAAATTGAAATGTTGAATTATTTCTTGTGTGTTGATAAGCGGCAACTTAATTGATGCGTTACACCATTTTTAGCTTATTTTCCATTATTTTATCAAAAGTCTTTAGATTGAGTCATTTTTATGTAAATTTTACATTTCACTTAGATGGAGATTAATATAACTAATGACCAGTTCACTTGCCTTTTGATGTTAGATTATGGCTAGTCCTGTGATTTGTAGGTTATTTTGAAGATGAAGAATTTGGATGTTATAGCATGGAAGGATGGTACTTTTTGGCTTTGGGATGATGACAAGTAAAGATATGGAGTTTTCAAAAAGTCTACCAACTATTTTTGCTGTGCAATATAGGGAAATATGGACCAATGGATAAAACCCATATGGATTTGTCCTCATTATGTGGTTCCCCCAATAACTCTATAAGTAGGCACTTTTGGTTCTAACTTTTGGAATCCTCCCTTACAATTTCATCCTTTTACATTTCATCCTAAACACTTCTCCTCCCATCTCATTTCTTTCTACCTAAGACGTTTGGTTCGCAGAATGATTTCTGAAGGAATGGAATCTGTCAAAGGAATTGGAATCTGGAAGAAATTGGAATGAAATGTTATCAGGTTTGACCAAGTTTGGTTGGCAGGAATGGAATTTAATATGTCTAATGAATTGTAATCTTTCTGTTTGGTTTGCAGCAGAATTGGAATGGAATGATGAAAAAAGACAAAAATACCCTTTCGTTGATATTTTTTTAAAAAAATTAATTTTTTTAATTACAAATAACAATAAAATTAACATTTAACTGGAAGCAATAAATTTTTAATTAAATTTCAGAAATTAATTAAAATGTTTAATCTCTCTCATTCTAGGCGACCCCCACTCACACCCCGCCCTTCTATGTTCTCATCTCCGGCCTCCCCTACCATTCACCCTTCTATCCTCTCATCACTAGCCTCCCCTACCATGACCGTGCTCCACAGTTTTCCTCGAGTATAGGTTGGAAAAACTCACCATGGGAACACAACCACCCTCTCCCTCCTCCATGGTCATCGCCCTTTCGCCTTTTCTTCTACCTTTAGCTGCCGCCACAACCGCCGTAGAACCCATTTTTCGTTTTAGGTTTTCCTTGTTCTCAGATCTAGTTTTAGATTTATGGAGTTTCAAGGTCGAAGCTTCAAAGAGGGAAGGGGTTTAGAGGGTGTTGGCGACAGTGAACCTATATTAGGTTTGTTTGAACATTTAATGAGGAAATTTGAAGCAAGTAGTAATCGATCGAGAGCATCATAAGCAGAAATTGGAAGCACGCAGTAATTGGTTTGATTTTGGTGTTTGATAAGCAGAAATCGAAAGCAAGCAAGCATAAATCGGAAGCAAGCAAGCAGAAATCGGAAGCAAGCACTAATCATGAGGGTAATTTTTGTCATTTACACATTTTCAGATTGAATGGATTTCAATTCCATCAGTTTTAGGAAGGAA